ATAAGTGACAGCCCAAGGAAGAAAAATCTACGTTTCATTGGGGTTCCCGAGGGCGCTGAAAGGGACAGAGGGCCAGAATATGTATTTGAACAAATCATACCTGAAAACGTTCCTAATCTGGGAAGGGAAACAGGCATTCAGATCCAGGAAATAGAGAGATCCCCCCTAGAATCACTAAAAACAGTTGAACACCTAGACATTTAATAGTGAAGCTTGCAAATTCCAAAGATAAAGAAAAGATCCTTAAAGCAGCAAGAGACAAGAAACTCCTAACTTATCTGGGGAGGAATATAAAATTAACAGCAGACCTCTCCACAGAGACCTGGCAGGATATACTCAAGGTCCTAAATGAGAAAAACATGCAGCCAAGAATACTTTATCGAGCAAGGCTCTCATTCAAAATGGAAGGAGAGATAAAGAGCTTCCAAGACAGGCAGGAACTGAAAGAATATGTGACCCCCAAACCAGCTCTACAAGAAATTTTAAGGGGGACTCTTAAAATTACCCTTTAAGAAGAAGTCCAATGCAACAATCCACAAAAACAGGGACTGAATAGGTATTATGATGACACTAAATTCCTATCTTTCAATAGTAACTCTGAACGTGAACAAGCTTAATGACCCCATGAAAAGGCGCAGGGTGTCAGACTGGATAGAAAAGCAGGACCCATCTATTTGCTGTCTACAAGAGACTCATTTAAGACATGAGGACACCTACAGCCTGAAAATAAAAGGTTGGAGAACCATTTACCATTCAAATTGTCCTCAAAAGAAAGCAGGGGTAGCCATCCTTATATCAGATAAACTAAAGTTTATCTGGAACACTGTAGTGAGAGATGAAGAGGGACACTATATAACAATTAAAGGATCAATCCAACAAGAGGATTTAAGAATCATCAATATATATGCCCCGAATGTGGGAGCTGCCAAATACATCAATCAATAACCAAAGTTAAGACATACTTAGATAATAATACACTTATACTTGGTGACTTCAATCTAGCACTTTCTACAATCGACAGGTCTTCTAAGGACAACATCTCCAAAGAAACGAGAGCTTTAAATGATACACTGGACCAGATGGATTTCACAGATATCTACAGAACTTTACATACAAACTCAACTGAATACACATTCTTGTCAAATGTACATGGAACTTTCTCCAGAATAGACCACATACTGGGTCACAAATCAGGTCTGAACCGATACCAAACGACTGGTATCGTCCCCTGCATATTCTCAGACCATAATGCCTTGAAATTAGACCTAAATCACAACAAGAAGTTTGAAAGGACCTCAAACACGTGGAGGTTAAGGACCATCCTGCTAAAAGATGAAAGGGTCAACCAGAAAATTAAGCAGAATTAAAAAGATTCATGGAAAAATAATGAGAATGAAGACTCAACCATTCAAAATCTTTGGGATACAACAAAAGCAGTCCTGAGGAGGAAATACATAACAATACAAGCATCCATCCAAAAACTGGAAAGAACTCAAATACAAAAGCTAACCTTACACCTAAAGCAGCTAGAGAAAAAATAGGAAATAGATCCTACACCCAGCAGAAGAAGAGAGTTAATAAAGATTCGAACTGAACTCAACGAAATCGAGAGCAGAAGAACTGTGGAACAGATCAACAAAACCAGGAGTTGGTTCTTTGAAAGAATTAATAAGATAGATAAACCAATAGCCAGCCTTATTAAAAACAAGAGAGAGAAGACTCAAATTAATAAAATCATGAATGAGAAAGGAGAGATCACTACCAACAACAAAGAAATACAAACAATTTTAAAAACATATTATGAACAGCTGTACGCCAATAAATTAGGCAATCTAGAACAAATGGACGCATTTCTGGAAAGCCACAAATTATCACAACTGGATCAGGAAGAAACAGAAAAACTGAACAGGCCAATCACCAGGGAGGAAATTGAAGCAGTCATTAAAATCCTTCCATGACACAAAAGTCCAGGGCCAGATGGCTTCCCTGGGGAATTCTATCACACGTTTAAAGAAAAAACCGTATCTATTCTACTAAAGCGGTTTGGAAAGATAGAAAGAGATGGAGTACTTCCAAATTCGTTCTATGAGGCCAGCATCACCTTAATTCCAAACCAGACAACGACCCCACCAAAAAGGAGAATTGTAGACCAATATCCCTGATGAACATGGATGCAAAAAGTCTCAACAAGATACTAGCCAATAGTATACAACAGTACATTAAGAAGATTATTCACCATAACCAACGAGGATTTATCCCCGGGATGCAAAGCTAGTTCAACATTCGTTAAACAATCAGTGTGATTCATCATTTCAGCAATAGAAAAACCAAGAACCATACGATCCTTTAAACAGATGCAGAGAGAGCATTTGACAAAATGCAGCATCCATTCCTGATCAAAACTCTTCAGATGTAGGGATACAGGTACATTCCTCAACATCTTAAAAGCCATCTATGAAAAGCCCACAGCAAATATCATTCTCCGTGGGGAAGCACTGGGAGCATTTCCCCTAAGATCAGGAACAAGACAGGGATGTCCACTCTCACCACTGCTATTCAACAGAGTACTAGAAGTCCTAGCCTCAGCAATGAGACAACAAAAACACATACAAAGCATTCAAACTGGCAAAGAAGAAGTCAAACTCTGCCTCTTCGCTGATGACATGATACTCTACGTAGAAAACCCAGAAGACTCCACCCCAAGATTGCTAGAACTCATACAGCAATTCAGCAGTGTGGCAGGATACAAAATCAATGCCCAGAAGTAGGTGGCATTTCTATATACTAACAATGAGACTGAAGAAAGAGAAATTAAGGAGTCAATCCCATTGACAATTGCACCCAAAAGCATAAGATACCTAGGAATAAACCTAACCAAAGAGGTAAAGGATCTATACCCTAAAAAGTTTAGAACACTTCTGAAAGAAATTGAGGAAAACACAAAGAGATGGAAAAATATTCCATGCTCATGGATTGGAAGAATTAATATTGTGAAAATGTCAATGTTACCCAGGGCAATCTACACGTTTAATGCAATCCTTATCAAAATACCATGGACTTTCTTCAGAGAGTTAGAACAAACTATTTTAAGATTTGTGTGGAATCAGAAAAGACCCCAAATAGCCAGGGGAATTTTAAAAAAGAAAACCATCTCTGGGGGCATCACAATGCCATATTTCAGGTTGTACTACAAAGCTGTGGTCCTCAAGACAGTGTGGTACTGGCACAAAAACATACACATAGATGAATGGAACAGAATAGAGAACCCAGAAGTGGACCCTGAACTTTATGGTCAACTAATATTCAACAAAGCAGGAAAGACTATCCACTGGAAAAAAGACAGTATCTTCAGTAAATGGTGCTGGGAAAATTGGAAATCCACATGCAGAAGAATGAAACTGGACCACTCTCTTGCACCATACACAAAGATAAACTCAAAATGGATGAAAGATCTAAATGTGAGACAAGATTCCATCAAAATCCTAGAGGAGAACACAGGCAACACCCTTTTTGACCTCGGCCACAGTAACTTCTTGCAAGTTTTCCTGGAAGGCAAATGAAACAAAAGCAAAAATGAACTATTGGGACTTCATCAAGATAAGAAGCTTTTGCACAGCAAAGGATACATCAACAAAACTGAAAGACAACCTACAGTATGGGAGAAGATATCTGCAAATGACCTATCAGATAAAGGGCTAGTTTCCAAGATCTATAAACAACTCATTAAACTCAACACCAAAGAAACAAACAATCCAATCATGAAATGGGCAAAAGACATGCCCAGAAATTTCACAGAGGAAGACATAGACATGGCCAAGAAGCACATGAGGAAATGCTCCACATCACTTGTCATCAGGGAAATACAAATCAAAACCACAATGAGATACCACCTCACACCAGTGAGAATGGGGAAAATTAACAAGGCAGGAAACCACAAATGTTGGAGAGGATATGGAGAAAAGGGAACCCTCTTACACTGTTGGTGGGAATGTGAACTGGTGCAGCCACTCTGGAAAGCTATGTGGAGGTTCCTCAAAGAGTTAAAAATAGATGTGCCCTATGACCCAGCAATTGCCCTGCTGGGGATTTACCCCAAAGATACAGATGCAATGAAACGCCGGGACACCTGCACCCCGATGTTTCTAGCAGCCATGTCCACAATAGCCAAACTGTGGAAGGAGCCTCGGTGTCCATCGAAAGATGAATGGATAAAGAAGATGTGGTTTATGTATACAATGGAATATTACTCAGCCATTAGAAACGACAAATACCCACCATTTGCTTCAATGTGGATGGAACTGGAGGATATTATGCTGAGTGAAATAAGTCAATCGGAGAAGGAGAAACATTATATGGTCTCAATCATTTGGGGAATATAAAAATTAGTGAAAGGGAATAAAGGGGAAAGGAGAAAAAATAAGTGGGAAATATCAGAAAGGGAGACAGAACATGAAAAACTCCTAACTCTGGGTAATGAACTAGGGGTGGTGGAAGGGGAGGTCAGCGGGGGACGTGGGGGGCGGGGGAGGGTGACTGGGTGGCGGGCACTGACGTGAGCACTTGATGGGATGAGCACTGGGTGTTATTCTGCATGTTGACAAACTGAACACCAATAAAAATAAATTTATTTAAAAAAAGAATTAAATAATCCTGGGTTTTAATCTTGGGCTTCTACCACTATCTAGGCTAGCTATGGTAGTCTTGACATTTTTCAAGCCATGGGACCTTCAGCAATTAATCTCTACAATGAGAACTGCGTAAAAACTGCAATTTGTAGTATCTGTTCTATCCAAGCACAGGACGGTTTTAAGAATCAAGTCATTAATGTAACATGTTATTATCATCACTATCATCTAAGCAGAGAAAACTGAAAGTTGTATTTTAAAACAGGCAAACCATTTTATCAATTGACTTTTAGCAACCAATGTCATATGTTGGCTTCTTCTGAATAGATGTGAATAAGAAGTTATTAATTTGGTTTATCCTAAATAATTACTTACTTTACATACCTGGCATAACAAAACACTTCCACATGTTGAATGGTTTTATCCTTCCTGCTAAGAGCAATGGCTTCTTCATTTTCAAGAATCTGCTCTTGCCATGCTGGGCCTTCATTCACAATGTCACTGTTTTCCTAAACAAAATATAGATCAGAAATTTTAATTAAATTGGGCAATCAGAACCTCTACTTTTTTGTGAAAATATAGACCTTTTTCAATCAATGTTTTGCCTTTGATCCCATCAGAATTCTGAAATGACTCTAGCATAGTGTGCCATCTCAAAGAATTGAGAAGGAAATTGTGTAAAAACCTATCCTATCAAAAGCTAGCTCTGGTTTACAGATTTCTATCAGGATATCTGACAGTATGATACAGCCACTGGATGTGCCTGTTTTGACATTATTTAAGAACTAAGACAACCCTCTATCTGTTGAAAATCAAGCGTGTCTGTTCTACATATTACTTTTTATTAAGAAAGTTTTTGCATTTTGTTGTCCAAAAGCAGGCTCATAATTACTTCATTTTACTTGTTTTTAGGTGTTTGAAGGTCAGTCAATAGCCATAACAAATTCTGAATTATATATACAAGTATTTTTGAAAAGTATTCAGCCCACTGTAAATTTAAGACTATATAATAATCCTCTAAATGTCTTATATTAAGAAAGACAATAAAACAATAATATATGTATGCAAACTTATAAGGGTTGAAAGTGGCCCTTCAAAACTTTCAATAATTTCCAATTATACTTTATGGAAATAAATTATGTGTAGAGCAATATTTTAATACAGGAGTTTTTTAGAAAATTCAGGATATACTTTTTCCATGTCAAGGCTCAATTTTTAATATTCTTAAAATTTTAAACTATTTGATACACATTGCTTAGAAAAATGTTTAAAATATATATTTTCAAAGAACTAGTAGTGGGGAAAAAAGAACTAGTATTAAAATATAATATTGTTTAAGTAAAATCACCTTAGGAAATTTCTAAACTTACAGATTTCATAAAATAGGACAATATTTTAAAGGGGGAAATACAGTAATTTGAAATGAACTGATTGGTAGTTTTGCACATTTATAGTAGTCACCTGACAAAATCAGTAAAAACAAAGCCAAGAAAAATTTAATGTAAATTTATTAATTTTTTTTTTCTAAGGTAGGACTGACTTGGTTTTGGCTCAGTTTATTATCTCAGGGTCCTAGTATGAAGCCCCAGGTCAGGCTCTGTGCTCAGAGAGGAGTCCGCTTCTATCTCTCCCTCTGCCCCTCCCTCCCACTCACACACTCTCTCTCTCTAAAATAAATAAATGTTTTAAACAAGGCTTTTTCTGGAGACACCTGGGTGGCTCAGGTCATGATTCCAGGGCTCTGGGATTGAGTCTTGCATGAGGCTCCCCACAGGGAGCCTGCGTCTCTTCCTCTACCTATATCTCTGCCTGTGTCTCTCATGAATAAATAAATAAAATCTTGCCCCCAAAAAGGCTTCTTTTTCTCCTGAATTTAACATTTTAAGGTGAAGAAAGGTAGGGAAGACATCCCTTATTATTAAGCGTAATTACGAGATAGTGTTAAACATCCCAACATAGGTAAAAAAATGAGGTGAAATACAGGAACTCTAAAATGTGAAAACATAGGGTTACCAACCTGAATGAAGAAAAGACTAGATCAGTAGACAGAGAGTGAAAGGGGAAAGGATATAGTGAAAGAGTCAAGATACTGGAGGAGAAGAACCACTAAAATAAACATCTACAAAAATATTTTAATAAATCGAACCTATTATTAAAACTTATTTTATAAAATTCCTTCCACTCACCAGAAGTTCTCCATTCAGAAAACTGAGGTATTTTTATTGTCTTTGCTGTGAGCATCTAGGTTAAATTTTCTCATGGAAGTACTAAATATGGTAAACATAGTAAATAAGATAACCCTTCACATACTTCCTAAGACTAAGGTTCAAAATAGGATTTCTAATCCACACAAATAAATGAATATTAAGGCACATATATAAATCAGCTAAGTATCTATTAGTAACACTTACCTTCTTGATTTACAAAGATTGTATTACATGCAATATTACTTTCCAACAATTGTTTCTCCACAATCTCACTACATGCAACAGAATTATTCAAACTGAATCTTCACTGCATCTTCAACATCACTATCTTTGTCATCACCAGAAGCACTTTATAAGTCACCTACCATTAATTAATCAGTACAACTACAATGCTTAGTGTGGTGCTTGGCACATGGTAAGTGCTTAATAAGTCTTAGCTTATATTATTTTTAGCTAACTGTATCTAATTTTCTAGAATTTACCACCCTCCTTTCCCAACTGTTTAAACTATTTTGAGATATAGCAGTTTCTGATTCCATGAATGATGCTCACAGTAGGATATTCACTTGAAGCCACATGTACCATTCACATAAAATTAGGACACTTTTTTTAATGTCATAAAAATCAATAAACTACATTACACAACCAACCACACACATTACTATGGTGTAAATGTCTTCTAAAAAACTTCTTGGGGGAGGAGGAGGGGCAAGATGGCGGAAGAGTAGGGTCCCCAAATCACCTGTCCCCAACAAATTACCTAGATAACCTTCAAACCATCCTGAAAATCTACGAATTCGGCCTGAGATTTAAAGAGAGACCAGCTGGAACGCTACAGTGAGAGGAGTTCACGCTTCTATCAAGGTAGGAAGACAGGGAAAAAGAAATAAAGAAACAAAAGGCCTCCGAGGGGGAGGGGCCCCGGAGGAGCCAGGCTGAGGCCGGGGCGAGTGTCCACAGGACAGGAAAGCCCAAGCCCCGTCCCGGAGGAGCAGGAGCTGCACCAACCTTCCCGGACGGGCGGAAAGGGGCTCGCAGGGAGTTGGAGCAGGACCCAGGAGGGCGGGGATGCCCTCGGGCTCCCTGGGACACTAACAGACACCTGCGAGCGCAGGAGAGTGCTCCGAGCTCCCTAAGGGCTGCAGCACGCACCCCAGCAGTTCGGAGGGGCTCAGGAGCGGCTCCAGGGAGGGAGCTGCGGGGCGGGAGCGCAAATCCAACAACGCAGGCCCCGGAGCACAGGGCGCCGGGACACAGCCCAGGATCCGGCCTCCCCCTGGGACAGGCAGAGGCCGGGAGGGCCCAGGACAGCAAGGACGCTCCTACCCCGAACTGAGCAGATCAGCGGCCCGCCCCGGAGCCTCCAGGCCCTGCAGATGGAAAGCCCAGAGCCCCGAGCCCCATAGTTCCTGCGGAGGCTGAATCCAGGCTTCTAGAGTTGCCATAGCAACTGCAACTGTTCCTCCTGAGACCTCACAGGGTAAACAACCCCCGCTGAGCCCTGCAGCAGGCAGGGGCAGAGCAGCTCCCCCAAGTGCTAACACCTGAAAATCATCGCAGCAGGCCCCTCCCCCAAGTATTTGGGGAGCTGCCAAATACTTAAACGAATTATTAAACAAAGTGAAGAAATACTTAGATAATAATACACTTATACTTGGTGACTTCAATCTAGCTCTCTCTACCCTCGATAGGTCTTCTAAACACAACATCTCCAAAGAAACGAGAGCTTTAAATGATACACTGGACCAGATAGATTTCACAGATATCTACAGAACTTTACATCCAAACTCAACTGAATACACATTCTTCTCAAGTGCACATGGAACTTTTTCCAGAATAGACCACATACTGGGTCACAAATCGGGTCTGAACCAATACCAAAAGATTGGGATCGTCCCCTGCATATTCTCAGACCATAATGCCTTGAAATTAGAACTCAATCACAAGAAGAAGTTTGGAAGGACCTCAAAAACGTGGAGGTTAAGGACCATCCTGCTAAAAGATAAAAGGGTCAACCAGGAAATTAAGGAAGAATTAAAAAGATTCATGGAAACTAATGAGAATGAAGATACAACTGTTCAAAATCTTTGGGATGCAGCAAAAGCAGTCCTGAGGGGGAAATACATCGCAATACAAGCATCCATTCAAAAACTGGAAAGAACTCAAATACAAAAGCTAACCTTACACATAAAGGAGCTAGAGAAGAAGCAGCAAATCGACCCGACGCCCAGCAGAAGAAGAGAGTTAATTAAAATTCGAGCAGAACTCAACGAAATTGAGACCAGAAGAACTGTGGAACAGATCAATAGAACCAGGAGTTGGTTCTTTGAAAGAATTAATAAGATAGATAAACCATTAGCCAACCTTATTAAAAAGAAGAGAGAGAAGACTCAAATTAATAAAATCATGAATGAGAAAGGAGAGATCACTACCAACACCAAGGAAATACAAACGATTTTAAAAACATATTATGAACAGCTCTACGCCAATAAATTAGGCAATCTAGAAGAAATGGACCCATTCCTGGAAAGCCACAAACTACCAAAACTGGAGCAGGAAGAAATAGAAAACCTGAACAGGCCAATAACCAGGGAGGAAATTGAAGCAGTCATCAAAAACCTCCCAAGACACAAGAGTCCAGGGCCAGATGGCTTCCCAGGGGAATTCTATCAAACGTTTAAAGAAGAAATCATACCTATTCTACTAAAGCTGTTTGGAAAGATAGAAAGAGATGGAGTACTTCCAAACTCGTTCTATGAGGCCAGCATCACCTTAATTCCAAAACCAGACAAAGACCCCACCAAAAAGGAGAATTACAGACCAATATCCCTGATGAACATGGATGCAAAAATTCTCAACAAGATACTAGCCAATAGTATCCAACAACACATTAAGAAAATTATTCACCATGACCAAGTAGGATTTATCCCCGGGATGCAAGGCTGGTTCAACACTCGTAAAACAATCAATGTGATTCATCATATCAGCAAGAGAAAAACCAAGAACCACATGATCCTCTCATTAGATGCAGAGAAAGCATTTGACAAAATACAGCATCCATTCCTGATCAAAACTCTTCAGAGTGTAGGGATAGAGGGAACTTTCCTCGATATCTTAAAAGCCATCTACGAAAAGCCCACAGCAAATATCATTCTCAATGGGGAAGCACTGGGAGCCTTTCCCCTAAGATCAGGAACCAGACAGGGATGTCCACTCTCACCACTGCTATTCAACATAGTATTGGAAGTCCTAGCCTCAGCAATCAGACAACAAAAAGACATTAAAGGCATTCAAATTGGCAA